CTTCTTCTTCTCCTCCATCTTCTGTGGTGATGGTGGCACTTTGGGATTGGTCATTACTAAAAGTGCACCGGGCAATAAGGGTGAAAGGTTTTGTGGGAAAATGATAAATATTGTACACGTAACTTTGGGTATAAAGATAGGTGACCGCCCCCGGGGACAGGGAGTGTGCTCATGGCTGGCTGCTGAGCAGACCTCTGTTGGGCCGAAAGAAAATCTTTTAGATAAACAATTAATAAACACAGAGACTGAGAAAAGAACTGAAGCCTCTTCTCATCCTTTGGAACGCGGGCTGCCCCAAGGCCACCCCGGGCCTTTCCAGGCCATCCAAACAGCCAAAAACCGGACACCTGGGGTGCTCCAGGGGGTGGGAGAGGGGTTTGGGAGATCCTCATCAGCCCTGTGACCTCTGCTGTTTGTTCTTTCGCAGTGAGATGGACCCTCACGTCAGGGACTGTGTCAGGAGTTACACCGAGGACTGGGCCATCGTCAACAGAAAGTGAGTGAGACACCCTCTGGTGCTTGTCACCTTAAGTTCATCTTTAAACTTGGGCCAAGTGCTATAAGGAGGCTAAAAAATACAGTCCTGGCTGCTGATTCCATGTTGCCTGGTCCAGCTGAACTGATGCTTTGTGTTTGGAAAATTGGATCTTTCCAATTTTCATCGAAACCCTTTGGGGCAGTTTGGAAAATCTAGCCCATTTCAGTCCACACTTACTCCTTTACCATAGCAGAACAATTAGGGTGTGGACAAATAAAATTACTTTCAGCATTTGTTTCTCCCTTTGTTCCATCTTTTAGAGACAAGTTGCATTAATTTTGCAGTGATTTATGAAGAGTCCCCACTATAGACAATGTGCCCTCTGCAGCTTCCATTGGTTCCCAGAGAGACCTGGGGAAAGTACATCATTCAGACAAATAATTGTTAATATTTGAACCATCACAACATTTACCTAATGAGTTAGCAGCTCAGAGGATGGGCATGCGTTGATTATTCCATGCAAATGAGCAGGAAGGGTTCTGAGAGGCTCAGCTGGAGCAGGGGCTCTCTGGATGATTGGAGGTCTGATGGCTTCAAGAGCTGCTGTCAGGGAGTGAGTGATCCATGTGAGGAGCATCACCCACAGATGCCTGGGCTGCAGCTCCAGCTGTGCCCTTGTGGCAGTTGCTACAATTCACTGGTTTGATGTTGTCCTGAGAGCCACTGCAGGGATGCTCAGCATGTGCTTGGCACTGCTAACGTGACCTAATAAAAAAGTGTTTTGTAATCTCATACCAAAAAAAAAAAAACCCAAAAACCCACTCAGAAAGGAACCCAAGAGGGAGGGAGATGTTTTATGGACTCCCAGCCTTGGCAGCAGAGTCTTGGATAGACCTGGGCAGTGTGACCCACCCAGGCACCCACCCCTGGCTTCTCAGTGACTTCCATGGGCACCTGGAATTCCTGGCCGTGATTCCTGCTCTGATGAGCTTTATTTGGTGGGGTTTTGTCTTCTGAGAGTCAAAGTACATTCTGCTTGGATAAAATCATGGCAGTGCACTGGGCAGAAATGGAAGAGTTGCTGCTGGAGCAGGGGAAGAGCCCAGAGGCTCAACTGGGAAGGACTGAATTGTTTTTCAAGTAAGGATGCCAACAATTTCCTCTTAATCCATCCCATTGGATGGTTCCAAGTCCTCTGGCTAGCTCCAGGGGCACAAACCCCAGCTCTTGGAAGAACTGCTGAATTGACTTGTGACATTCCATCCTTTTTTTCCCCACCCCAGGGGAAATAATCTTTATGTCCATCTCTGCCTCCAGTTTTTTGTAACCAAAATGTTTTTGAGGCAGGGAAATCCACCCATTCAATCAATCCTTTAATGATATTGGAAAATTATGTTGAAAAAAACCCACTAGCATATTCTGATTTCAAGCTTATGCCACAATTTCTGTGTGCTAGACTGAGGAAGTCAGGTGTGAATTAGAGATAATTTAAACTTGTTGGTGGAGCTGTGATGGAAATGCAGACATCCAGGTGAGGATTGTACAAATCCTGTTGTTCAGCTCTCAGGAAATACAGCCTAGCAAGGAAAATGCATTCCTCCTTTTTTCTCTTCCCTTCCTTTATTTGCTGCTAGCATTCCATGATTTTCCCATGTCTGGAGCATCCCTCTGTGGTAACTTTAGTGCCAGGGCATGGTAAGAACAATTAATTCTAGCTGTGATCCCAGGAACTGACTTGGAGTGAGTGTTGCAGGGAGCCATGCCTCTACCCATGTGTGTGTGTGTAAATGCAGACCTGGTGCCATTTGGCACCCAAAAATTTGTTAGTCAAAGAGATCTGCTCCTGTCAGCCCAGCAGGCAGCCTGTTCACTTGTAGGAGCTCTCACACTCTGAGGGCCCCACTTTCCTCACAGAGTTGCTGTGTGAAGACACTTGGTTTAGTCAGGGTTAGCAAATTGTTCTCCAGAGGTGCTCAGGATTTTCCTGAGTTGCTGTTTTGGTTTTCCAGTTAATCATTTTATTACTCCAAGCCAGTTCCTGCTCCAGCAGAACCACTGGCCTTCAGCCCTCGTGTTCCCGGCCTGTTTTTAGCTTGGCATCACAATGGCACATTTTACAGCAGCTTTAATTGGCCCTTGATAATCCTCCTTTTGACATCACCCAGAGTGGCTTTATAGATGAACAGAGTCACATTGTAGTGCTGGAATAGTGGCTGTTGGATGATGCCCCAGCTCCAGTGGAGCTGACTGGAAATTGTGTTTGCAGAGAGCAGCTCCTGCCTCGGGAGCCCCCACGCTGACAATGCTGGGTTTGTCCTGGGGTCAGGGTCAGAAGGGCTGCTGAGAACGTGGTTGAAATCCTCTGTTTGCAGATACCACAAGCTGGGAACTGGCTTCAACCCCAACACCTTGGACAAACAGAAGGAGAGGCAAAAAGGGCTCCCCAAACAGGTCTTCGAGTCTGACGAAGCTCCTGACGGCAACAGCTACCAGGATGAACAAGTAATGTGCCTTTAAAACCCTGCTGCATAAAACCTAATTTATGGTGCAGCTTTCAAAGTGCAGTCCTTTTCCCATTAGAAGTTGGTTTAATTTGTTGGCTCCCAGGACGACCTGAAGCGCCGCTCAATGTCGATCGACGACACGCCCCGGGGCAGCTGGGCCTGCAGCATCTTCGACCTCAAGAACTCCCAGCCCGACGCCCTGCTCCCCAACCTGCTGGACAGAACCCCCAACGAGGAGATCGACCACCACAACGAGGACCAGAGGAAGTCTGGCAGGCATAAGGAGCTTTTTGCACTACACCCAGCACCCGATGAGGTATTTTTGTGTGAAAGTTGCCAGTCTGCCGGATTTTTAAAGGATTTAAGATCACCTGTGTTTAACATGCAGAACTGCAGCTATTTTGTGTTTTTCAGCATGTTGTCTTGCCTATAGATATTACTTTCTGAAGATTGGGTTTCCCTTCTGGTTATGCAATCCCCAGGAATGTAGGAACATTAAAGGGATTTAATTTAGCATATTTATAGCTGCTGATGAATGCACCGTGCTGGGAAGCCTCGGATTAAATTGGTGCTGTGCCTTAGAAGGAAAAGGTGATGGATGTGTTTGCCTGCTGGTTCTGCTGGTGGTTTGTACAGGGGTTGTGTCTCTAATTCCAGGAGGAGCCCATAGAGAGACTCAGTGTCCCTGAAGTACCCAAAGAACACTTTGGCCAAAGACTCCTGGTGAAGTGTTTGTCCCTGAAGTAAGTACCACTCCAACAGACACAAATTCAGAATTTAAATCTGCTGCTGTATCCACATGCATCTGGAATAACTCCACTGTCTTCTTTATTGCCCTGGAAGGGTCATTGCATTGTTTGTTCCTGAGCTTCCAGGTTCATTTTGCAAAGCTTGAGTAACACAGTTGTACCTCCGAGACTTCCTGCAGTTGATGAGACAGGAAATATCCTCCTCCCTTGGCTTTTCTCCCTGCTGCTTTCCAGCTCTACCTGTTCCATGGCACTGGCACATGACATGAGGCTTCACCACGCTCCCCCAGGGCTCTCAAGTTGGCCACTCGCTGCTGTTCCCCGCCCTAACCAGGAAATGTCAGATTAAATTTAAAGATTAAAAATGCTCGAGCCTTAAACACATAAAGACAGCCAAAGATTTGCCAAAGTTTAGGCTCAACAACCTTGACTGTGTCCCTTTAAGAGTGAAGACTTTATATACTTAGTAAGCATTAACTGGAGGAATAGAAACCTGTTAAACAAGTTTAATGAAGTGGAGCTCCTGAATATAGGGTTACCTGCAGCTGGTTCATTGCCTATAACTCTTCTCTAATAACACAAGGTAAAATTTTACTGTTATTCCCTTGGAGAAATAAAGTACAAAACTGATTTTCCACACTGCTGTATTCATCTTCTGTGTCCTCAGTTAGGTCAACCCTTCTTATTAGAGAGCTCCAGTTGCTGCTCATAACTGAGATATATGTGTGGGACATTTCTCCTGCTCGTGGAGTACTCCAGGACCTAATATAGCCATAGAGATGAACTGATTTTGCAGCCTTTTATGAACTGGAACAACATAATATGCAGTAGCAGTGCAGCTTTCCCTCCAAAGCAGGGTGTCTTTAGCATAAATAAGTTAGATGCTGGAAATTAATGTTTTCTGCTCTTTAAGCATCTCTTGCTGACTGCAAATTTATAGCAAATCTGCCCAGCTCCATGTTTGCTTGTGTACCTGGCAATCTGTGAGCCTGTGCTTGGGATGTAATCCAGGATTGTGCCATCTCAGTGGCACAAAACAAGGACATTTTCCCCAGGGAGAAAGCTCAGATGACCTAAGCAGGGTTATTTCCAGGTTAATCTCAGCTTTGTGGCAAAACTGGAGAAAACACCTGTTTGTGGTGTTGTCCCTGCTGGCAGGAGGAGTTCCAGGCTGAAGCTGAGAGTTCCTGCAAGGGCTGGGACAGGGATTTTGTGGGGAGGCTGTGCAGGCAGAAATGGCATTTCAGCCCCTGCTCACTGAGGGGCAGGGACAGGTTTTGAATGTTTTTAAATTCCTGTAAGTCCCCAGGTGTTCTGACAACAGGTTCAGCTCTGTTTGGTGGGTCAGTGTTCCTGTTGGAACACTGCAAATTCTGTTGGAATTTGCATAAACACTGGATAACAGCTACTGTGAAAAGCTGACACCTTTTAACGGGGATTGGTTCAGTGCCCATCACCCGGGGAGGATCTGGGGACAGGGTTGGTCATTCCTTCTGACAAAATATAAATCAAACTAATTCTGTGTTTCCTTCTTTCAAGATTTGAAATAGAAATTGAGCCCATTTTTGCAAGTTTGGCTTTGTATGATGTCAAAGAAAAGAAGAAGGTAGGTTTTTAATCACTTGAGTGTGACATTTCCACTGAAATTTAAACACAAGAAATGGAGGAATTAATTGTGGTGGCAAAGCTTTAAGAGGACAGTGACAGAGGTTGGAAGAATTGTGAAGGCATTCCATGAACCATCTTGTGTTCTTCTTGGTAAAGCAGTTGAGGTATAAAAATTTCCTAAAAATACTGTCTAATAGGTGATTTAATACATTCCTAAAAATATTATCTAATATGTGAGTGCCTGAAATAAGAATATATATAGATATAAAAGAATATATATATATGTGTGTGTATATATATATAAGAATATATATGTGTATGTATACATACATACATATCTTTACATATATATTTCTATATATATTTTATATATATGTCTATATAAAAAGAAATATATGTATGTATATACATATTTTTTATGTATGTATATTAATAAATACATGTATATACATACATATAAATACATATATGTATATGCATATTTATATCTTTATTATATAAATAATATATAATATATAAATATATAATAGAATACAAAATTAAATTAATATATAAAGAAATTATTAATAAACTAATACATAGAAATATAAATTTATATTTATATTATATAAAATATATAATTACATATTTTATATAAAATATGTATTTATATGTGTGTATATACATCTATATTTTTATATATGTGTATATACATACATATTCTATATATATACACATACACATACATTTATATATATATATATATATATACACATACATTTATATATATATACATATCTATATGTACACACACATATGTATGTATGTATGTATGTAGTCCAATTTTGGCTTTCAGAAGTCTCTTCCCCAGAGAGAACTTAGGTAACTGAAACCTTTTATTTGGATTAGGTTTTTATGACTTTCTTAATCTCTTTTTGGTGATTCAGCATGGCACGGGTCCAAGCAACACTTCAATAATGCACAGAAAGTCAGGCATGCTGAAATTGCTAAAATCAAAACAAAACTGAGGAATCTTTTCAAGATCTAAGTTATAGGAAATGGAAAATACATTTATTCACCTATTTATGTTCTGTATTTAATATTTAAAGACTCTCTTAGTTTTCCTTGTTCAAGATATTAGCAGTAGTGGAGAGAAAAATGTTAAAAATATGCATTTTGACATTTATCTCTTTAAGACTTGAATTTAATGCATTGAGATTTAAGTTATGTAGATGAGAGTATGTGGAATATTATGTGAACTTTGTTTAATATTTAAATCACATTTCATAAGCCAATTTTATCATCTCATTACTCCTTTTTTTGGCTCTAACGTAGTAAGTTCTTTAGTGACCTCTGGTGTTGGTAACCTGCTCACATCTTTTTTGGCTCTGAAGCTTTGCAGGCAAGGATTTGCTGTTTCAGGGTAGAAGGCTCAGTGTTTGTCTTCCAAGGGGTGTTATTTTGTCTTTTTTGTTTATATTTTGATATTTTGGTGTTTTCAGTTTAGCTAACAATGGTAATTCCTAATCCTGTGGTGGAGCTGCACACCTTAGAGGAGCTGGAGGAGATTTTATAATTTTATTTGTGGTGTTTCCTCCATTATCTTTCTCACTGTCTTGCCTTGGTTTTTAATGAAAAAGGCTTTTCTTTTCTATCCATGCATGGTTTAACACGAGGAGTTTTTAACACGTATTTTAAAAAACTTTAAAATTGTTCATGAAGAATTTACAAAAAAAAAAAAGATAAAACTAATGCTTGAAATTACACAATTTTTTTTCTTATTTTTCATACATGGTTTGACACAAGGAGTTTTTAACATGTATTTTAAAACAATTTAAAATTGCTCAGGAAGAATTTAAAGAAAAATAAAGATATAACTAATTCTTGCAACTACCCAATTTCTCCCTCAGATTTCAGAGAATTTCTACTTTGATTTAAACTCTGAGCAAATGAAGGGAATGCTTCGGCCTCATGTCCCCCCTGCTGCTATTTCCACCCTGGCCAGATCTGCCATCTTTTCCATCACCTACCCATCCCAAGATGTCTTTCTAGTAATAAAGGTAAGAAATGGCAGGGAAATTGAAATGATGAAATTATTGTGGTCTCTTGTTTTTTATTTAAAGTAAAATAGAAATTCTGTTCTCAAAAGTGTAAACAGTGCTGCTTTATTTCAAATATTCTCACTTCAGTTCCTTTGTAAGAACCAGTTCAGTGCACTGAAGCTGGAGAGAGCACAAAGGTTTGCTTGATGATATAAATCAGTTTTCTGGGGCTTGACCTTGGTTTTCATATCAAACAATGTGCTGACTCCTTAAAATGATAGATAAGTCAGTGATTTAAAAATATCTATTGATCTGAATCTCATTTCAAAAAGGATACACACCCCTCAGCCAGATTTTCAGATGTGTTTAAGGGCAGAAATTGCCAAGAGAGTGAGATCCATAACTGAAATAAAATGCAACATTGGTCCCTCCTGGGATAAAGTACACAAAGATAAAAGTTATTTTCTGTTCTCTCCTTTGGTTCAATGAGTGCACAAATGTTGCTCCTTCAGGTGAGTGTTTGAGTCAAGATTTTTGGCTGGACCCTGGGTAAAAACCACCCTGTGGTCAAATGGGGAGCTCAAGACAGATTTTCAGGGAGTCTGAAGGTTCTGCAGGAATTCTTACACAAGGACTCACCAGGCTGCAGCTCTTGTGGAAGAATTTTTCCTTCCTTGTGTTTGTTCAGTTTATTAATCCTTGCTGGATCCACGTCCTTATAATGGTTCATTTTCCCTTCTCAGCTGGAAAAAGTGTTACAGCAGGGAGATATTGGGGAGTGTGCAGAGCCTTACATGATTTTTAAAGAATCTGATGCAGCAAAGGTAAGAATTTCTTTGGTGTTTGGATAAAAAATTAAATGTATTTTGTTTTACCTCGGACAGTTGATACTGTTCCTGTCTTTAAAAGGATCCATTTTTAATTAGGAATTTAATCCCATTCTAAAGGCCAAAAAAGAGCCAAAGACCTTTGAGTCTTGATGCCTTATTGGGGTGGAGTAGTTAAAGGTCAGCAGATTTTGTGGCTGTCAGGGGAGATTTGTGGCTCCCATCAAACTCAGCCATCTGTGATTCCCTGTCCCAAAGGATCAGCTGGGTCAGGGGAAGGCAGCCTTGGATGGGAATCTGCAGTAAAAAATTCAACTTTTCCACTGCTTTTGCAGTTTAACCCCATCCCTTCTGCCTGGTTCCAAAAGCACCTGCAGAATGGTTCCTGATTTGGTGTGCAGGTGGGCTGGGCCAGGTGGGATCAAAGGGTGATGATGAGGGCTGGGTGAAGGGCAGAGCAGAGGTTCCAGCCCTTCTTGTGATCCCAGCCTCTCCATTTCCCAAAAGCTTGGATCATTTGTTCATTTTAATCAACCCCTCAATAAATTATTTCCTCCCTAAAGCTCTAAAAACTGCTCTTTAATATGCAAAGCTATGGAAAAATCCTCTTTTATGCCCTTTTTTCCTTGACAAAATGAGTATGATAGTACTTACTTAAGGAGTGTTTTGAGTTTCCCACACAACTCCAGATGATCTGAGCACCTCCTGCATAAAATCACATCAGGAAAGGTCCCTTCAGTCTTCACAGGGGAAAATTCAGGTTTTCTTGAAGGATCACTGGGATTTGCCAGGCTGTTGAGGAGGGTTAGGAGCATAAAAGACTGTTCTGAGTGTCCTCTGGTGGCCTCTTTTGGGAAGCAGAAGTTGCATTTTCCCAACGCTGACGCTCTTCCTCTGGAAGGTGCTACAGAAACACAAATCATTGGGAGTTAGAAAGGACACCATCATCCCTCAGTGATTTACTGAATGAACCTCTGTTCTTGTTCCTCTCCTTTTAACCTCTTGGAGTGAATATTTTCTTCACAGAACAAGGAGAAGTTGGAAAAGCTGAAGGGCCAGGCAGAGCAGTTTTGCCAAAGACTGGGGAAGTACCGGATGCCTTTTGCCTGGACAGCCATTCACCTCATGAACATTGTCAGCAGTGCTGGCAGCTTGGAACGAGATTCCACAGAAGTTGAAGTTGGCACAGGAGGTACAGGACTAGCAGGGAATGTGCAGGAGGGAATATGGGCAAATCCAGAGGTTTTGATTCATATCCTGTAGCTGCTGTTGCTCCCTTTATTGCTTTCCTCCCCCTACTCTCATGGTCTGGGGTCATGGTTGAACTAAACCAGAAAAGTCCATGATAACAAATGGATTTATCTTTCAAGGATTTTACTAGCAAACCATCTGTTATATTATTTAAAACCAGGCTTGTGAGACTGAGGGAGCATTACAGGCTGATGAACATTTTCCAAAGGAGTGGATTAATCTTTGCGAGCCACATAGCTCATCCGAAACTGCTCTTCAGCATCCCCAAAACTGCCAACTTCATCATCTTTCAGAGCAAGGGAAATACATAAATCTCAGCATGATACAGACTTTTCTAACAGCAGGGAGGCACTGGGGTGAGGTGGCTGGGAGGGGAGCAGGATCAGCTGTGCTCCACAGCCTCGGGAGCGGGATTGCCTGAGCAGAACCCCCTCTTGTGTCACCTCACGGCATCATTCCCTCTCTGCTCTGAAGGAAGGAGTTCTCCTTCCCCAGGAATCCTGCTGGGAACCAAAGCAGGCTCTTGGAATGTAGTTTTCCTGCTTTATTTTTGATTCCTTCTCACTGCTGTGTTTGGCAGAGCGCAAAGGGTCGTGGTCGGAGCGGCGCAACTCCAGCATCGTCGGGAGGCGCTCCCTGGAGAGGACCACGAGTGGGGACGAGGCCTGCAACCTGAGCAGCTTCAGGCCAGCCACCCTGACAGTGACCAACTTCTTCAAACAGGTCTGGCAGGGCACTGTCCCACCTAGGAGTTATTTCTGGGACAGGAGGATTGGATGATGTGAGGTCTCTGGGTGATTAATTTGTGATTAATTCGATTTCTGCTGTGCAGTCATTGGGAGAATTTGAGCAGAATTGAGTTTGTTATGTTATTTATCAATCATGATGGAATAACAGACTGGTTTGGGTTGGAAGGGAGATTAAAACCCATCCAGTGACACCTTCACTGTCCCAGGCTGCTCCAGCCTGGCCTTGGGCACTGCCAGGGATCAGAGGCAGCCACAGCTGCTCTGGGCACCTGTGCCAGGGCCTCACACCCTCCCATGGAGCAATTTCTCCCTAATATCTAATCTAAATAGATATTTAGATTAGATATTAGGGAGAAGTCATATATTGCATAATTCTATAAGTCATATATTGCATAATTCTATATAATATATATTAATTCTGGTAGTAGTGAATCCAATTCCTAAGTTGTACCTTACATAATATTATATAATATATTAATTCTGGTAGTAGTGACTCCAGTTCCTCAGAGTGATTTAAGATTAACATCAGTTCCCTGAACACATCCAGGGATCCCTGAGGAGAACAAAGCATTCTGCTTCTGGTGCTGCTTTGCTGAGTGGCAGCTCCCCTTAGCCAAAGCTTGGGATTTTCCTGAGCAGTGGAAAACATGAATAAAGGGAACAAATTTTTAGTTAAGCTTAGCAAAAAGTAATGAGCTGAAAATTTTCTAAGATTTGCTCAATGTCACACCTAGTTAAGGAAAAACTGGTCACCAAGTTAGTAATGATTTACAAAAGGATGTATTTATTTACTTTGTTGAGGTTATTTTTACTTTGAAGCAGCTCATTTTATTTAATTTGTTCTTTAAAAACTGCCAAACATTAATTTAAGATTTTAAATTTCAGATTCTTTATTATCTTCCTTTTCTCCTGTTCAGTATAATTCATTGAATACTACCCAGTGTTTTCCTCCTTCCATTAGCTTCTTTTTTTTCCTTAATGTTGTGATTCCTTATCTTTAAAATCAGGTATCTTCTGCTTTTGGGTGGCAGAGTCCCATTTTCTGTAATATTTCCAAAATTAGCAAAACTGTGAGCTATTAGAAGGGGCACGAGGAAGACTGACAACAGACTCCTTGCACTTCCTACTTTTCCTGAAAAACAAGGCTGTTGTGGGCTCATCCCAAAGGAGGGCAGAGGAGAAGGAATGAGCATCACACCTGAGTGACAGATACTTTTTCAAACTATTACACTTGCTAAAAAATGGGTATTTTTGGAAAATCTCTTAGCAGCCATTTCCAGTTTGGAAAAAGATAATATTGATGGGGAGAGAAAAGGCTTTCAATTAAAAGTTCCTGCAGCTGTCAGGGTGATGAATAAGGGATGAAGGAAGGGGAGAGGATGGAGAAATGAAGTGTAATTGAACACGTTAATGGCAGCACCTTGTTCTGGGAGGGCACGGTTGGGTGTCAGAGGGAGGAGCCTGTGGGGTGGTGTGGGGTGGGAGGCTTTGCTCACTCTGGCAGCCCTGGAGGGTGTTTGGGTGACCCAGTCTTGCCCCTGAGCAGGAGGGGGATCGCCTGAGCGACGAGGACCTGTACAAGTTCCTGGCTGACATGAGACGCCCCTCGTCGGTGCTGCGCAGGCTCAGGCCCATCACAGGTACCCAGCTGCCCCTGGCTCTGCTTCTGGTGAGGGAACGGGGCCACCGTGGGGCTGAGAACCATTCACTGCCCTGATAAACATCAGGCTCACAGCTGTGAGACTTCAGAGGAGCAAGCTGTTGGCCATAGCTCAAAGTAGTCACAAGTTCTTTGTTACAGGGCAATAAATAACTTTCTAACTCAGTGGACAGTTGCCACAGGGTGTATTTTGCTTTTCTAACCTATCAGCTTTACTTACTTCTACTGCACTGAAGTACTTACCTCTGCTTTTACCCAAAGGCTACTATCTGTACACACAAATGCTTCTGTTATAACTTCTAAACTCTGCTTACTCTGTACAACCACACCCCTGCATTTTAAACCCTTCACCACCTTATCATTACAGTTTCTTACTTAAGGCATATTCTTACTTACAACTACAGAAACATAAGTCCATGAATTTTCCATTTAATGTCTATGTGTTGTGTCTTCACATCAATCCAAGCTTCTTGCAAGGCTGCAAGGACACAGTCTCGAGCTGTGTCCAGGGAAATACAGGCTGGATAGCAGGAAAAAGCTTTTTCCAGCAAGGTGATGAAGTTCTGGAATGGCTGCCCAGGGAGGTGGTGCAGTCCCCATCCCTGGGGGTGTTTAACACAGCCTGGATGTGGCACTGGGGGCCAGGGTTGAGTTGGGGTGTGGGGCTGGGATGGACTCCATGATCTTGGAGGTCTCTTCCAACCCAGTGATTCTGTGTTAATCAAACCCTTCAGTGTCTGTGGAAGTTTCTGGTTTCCAGTTCCCACAGAGCCAGCCCTCCTGGGCTCAGAAGTTGAGGTGTTTGGTTAGTTCCTCCCAAGGGAATCCTTGAGAGCAGTCCCTGGGCAGCGGGAGCACGGAAGGTGGGATGGGCAGGTTGGTCACTGGCACACTCAGGGTGAGGGGGGATGCAAACCCCAAACACAGGAATCTCTGTTTCCCACTCTATCCCAAAGGAGATCTCTCTCCTGGGTAACAGGAACAGGCTCCACCTCTGTTTGAGAAGGGGGAATAGGAGCCCTGGCACACCTCAGTGGAGCTGGTCCCTGACCTGTGCTATCCTGACAATATTTACTTAACTTAACCTGCTCTTAAAGCTCTCCAGGGACAGCAGTCCTGCCTCTTCCTTGGATCATCTCCCCAGCTCTCAGTTTGCCTTGCAGCCAGGTTAGGTTTTAACAAAACTTTGCAAAATTATCATGCTGCAAATTAATGTGACTGGGGCATGTGACCACAACCTTCCAAGCACTTGAGTGTTGTGATCAGTTCACCTAATTCACCTCTGGTTTGTAGCCTGACCAATCTCAGGGTTTTTCAGCCTTTCCTCTGATGGAGTTTTGTGTGTAACAATAGCTGGGCCTCCCAGGAGCTTTATCTGGACTGCATTTCCCCAGTTTTCTTATGAAAAAAAATCTGTGCCTTGTTAAAGTGCATATTTTCTGTCGGTTTTTATTATCTGGTCCCCAGTGGCCTTAGATATCAGCTGGATCCACTGACACTTGTTAACAAATCCACTTCAGCTGAAATTTAGCATTTGTTGATTCATTAAATTCATATATAGGATGTCAATGAATGAATATATAGGATATTAACCCGAAGAAACAAAGCGCAATTATGCTTTTAAAAATTAATTTCTATTTATGAATGCATAAAACCCCTTTCTTCTTGCAGCTCAGTTGAAGATAGACATCTCTCCAGCTCCAGAGAACCCCCACTACTGCCTAACCCCAGAGCTGCTGCAGGTCAAGCTTTACCCAGACAGCAGAGTCAGACCTACACGAGAAATCCTGGAGTTCCCTGCCAGGGATGTCTACGTCCCAAACACCACATACAGGTCAGAGTTTTGAAATCCATTTCACTTTCCAGGGCCTGACACTGGCAAGTGTAGAAATTCCTCCCTTATCAGCAGGCTCGTTGCAAAATCTGGTGGATGGGCAGAGGAGCTGTGCCAGAGGCATGGGAAGGGTTCAGGCTGACACAGAGAGAAGGCTCAGCTGGGGAGGGACAAACAGGTTTGCAAAACTTGGCTGTGAATAAGAACACAGGTTTCTCTATTTGGTTAAATTCTTTCCAGTTTTATGTAGGTTTTTTTTTTTTTTAAAGTCACCATTCTCCTACTGGCTTTATTAATTTATGTTACTTTCAGTGACTTCTTTTTTTCTTTTTTCTTTAAAGTGAAGGATAGAAATAGAGAAAATGCATAATCCCTTTGTTCATATTTCCATTTTGGTTGCCAAGCAATTTCTTTGTTGACAAAAAATCCTCTGAAGCCCCGAAAAATAGGAAATTTCTCTAAATATATTGGGAAACAATAATCTGTCTATAACAAAATCCAGGCTGGAGCCAGATTTCTTTTCATTATGTACCATTATTAATTTAAAGCTTTTTAACAGTATCTTTGAGGACATTACATGGCTGGGTGGAATTATCTTCATCAGCTGAGTGATTTCACCAACTTAGCAAATCCTTCATTTAAATTTAGATACAAACCAGGTTTTTACAAATCAAAGGGTTTAGATGAGTTCCATATCCTGTATTTTGAAAAGTCTCAGCCATTTATTTATTAGTCTATTTATTTATTGGATAGGAAATTTAACATTACAGTAAACCAGTACAAATAAGCAACAGTACATGATCTCATCCCTGTTACAAACCCATGAGAAGGAAAAGGATTTTTATTGTAGAATTTCTGTAATTAACACATTCTGTTCACGAGGTTTCACTCTGATAAATGACAACCAAAACCATTTCCTGTGCTGAGATAAAAAGCCCACACTGTACAAGGGCTGGGGAAGATAAACAAGTCAATATGACTCAGGGGAGCTGTAGGACTGGGCTTTGTCAGTCAGCACTTGCAGGGCCAGCCCAAGGCTGGCACTCTGTGTTCTGCAGCTGAAGCTCAGCCTGTGAGTGTCCCAGGGGCTGGAGCAGCCCTGTGCCATGGCTTGTGCCTGCTGGGTTTGTGGGCTGGCACCCCTGACCCTGTTGGAGCAGCTGTTCCCTAAGTGGAAGGTGTTTTGGTGTGTGCTCACTTGCTTGTGTGTTTAAATTCCTTAGCTGGTTGGACTGAAAGGTCACAGGGCTTGGCTCGGATTCATTTCAGGTGAGGAGAGCAAATCTCATCCTCCTTTCAGTGAGTTTGGCTCCTCACTTGCAGTGGGCAGCCCCAGCTATGCAGTTCCCTGTGGGATCTGTGGGATCCAGGGAAGCAGGGCTGCCCTGACCCCCTGTGTGTGACCCACCAGCTCCAGAGAGCATGGATTGGCCTCAGCTACACTCCTGGAAATACCCAGAGCCCTAAAAGGAGCAATTACCCATCTTTCATTTGCTCTTAAAACATTCCACAACAAAAACATGAACCAAACATTCAATTAGTTACTTCAAGAAACAAAATTTCTTTTTTTTTCTTTCCCTAAATGTTTTCAGTAGGGTTTTGCCAGCCCTTTAATCCCAGAAAACACTTTTTGTTTTCCCTGCTACACAACCCAGAAAGGAATGCACAGCCTGAAAACCCATTCCCCCAAACAATATTATCCAATGTGTGACAGGTTGGCTCCTGGGCATTAGAATTTCACTGTGGGGAAGGAAAAGCTCCACAAAAAGTTGCAGCACGTTGACATTGGGGCTTGAGGGAATGACAATACTCACCAGACATTTTGTAAGACCATCTCAGATGCCTCAGGTTTATGTTTTAGAGGAATTCCATGCAGGGCATGGATTGGGACTTGGCATCTGTTGGTAAACACGGCATCAAGTCCTTTGGTGTGGTGAAGTTCATTGTGTTTGTTCTGAGTTCAAATGCAGCAGGTTGAGCACTCAGTCAAAGCTTTTTAAGTCTGTTGGGTGGATCATTATTTTGGTTGACTTGAGCAGGTAGTATCTTCCTTTCTTAGGCTTCCAGTAGAGACCTTTTCCTCTGTCCAGCCTGCCCCTGGACCGTGGTGTGACGTAGTTCCCGTTCAGGTTGGTTTCCTCACACTCACTGTGCCACCAGCCTCCTGAGGAGAAACGTGGGCATGTCATTCTGGGCAGAGTAAACAGCTCCTCTTTGCAACAGAAATCTGCTTTAGACCCCAAATTCCAGCTCAGCTGGCATCTACCCAGGATTCCCAAATCACTGAATTGTTTGGGTTGGGAAAGTCCTGCAAAGTCACTGAGTGCAGCCATTCCCCAGCCCTGCCAAGGCCACCACTGAGCCATGTCACCAAATGCCACACCTGCCTGGATTTTAAATCC